AGAAAAAAGAAAGAAAGAAACTACGGCCCCAGTTGCTAATGTGGCTGTGCCAAAGTGTCATGTTGCTTGGACTTGAAGTCCGCCTCTGTTGGTCTCTGAGTCCAAGTTCCCACTTTCCTATCCCAGAAAACAACAGGCTTGTGGCATTCCCATTCAACCCAAAGATACAAATACTGTACACCGTGGGATATCTACGCCTTCACTCAGATATCTTTCTCTGATTTATTAGCTGATCAAATAAAACAAGTTTAAAAAGACATCCTTGACACCTGCTATGTGCAAGTACACATGCAGCTTTTCAGTTATCTTACAGAGGGAAGGGAGCTCAACCAGAAGACGTACAAAAGGCCAAAGGGAAAACGAAGCTTAAATGGCATGTATGCAGGTTGTAATGGCTCATTTCCACTATGAGCTCAGCAGAAAAATTACCAGAGGCACATTTAAGATTCAGTGGAATCGAGAGTATTTAATATGCCATTTGCATTTTGACAGCTTTGAAAAGTCTACATTGGGTTTGCTGTATCTTCTGCTTATAAGCAGGAACCAGCCACTGAGCCTTTGTTTATCTGTTTCTTAAAGGAAGCAGAACCATTTTCTTGACATTTTCAAAGCTGTGTTGGTGTCTGCTTGACACAATAAACTGGACAGTAAGGAAGCATTGCCCCCAGGAGGAGCTGCTTTTGCCTGTAGGAACTTCAGCACTGTGGCTGTGGCAGTCTTCCTATCAAGGATGATTGGCCAGCTGAAAGCCAATATAAAAATAGCCTGCTCCCTAGGCCTCTGCGGGTGAGATGCTTGGGACGTGAGGGAATTCTACTACCCTGCACTACCTGCCATTTGCCTCTCTGGACTTGTTTGATGAGACCTCTTTGCCCTGCTATTCAAGTTTACAAAACCTGTCACTTACGAAGAAAGATTCCCCTTTGCTTACCTTTTCAAGGACTTAAAACCCCAAACTACTGACTCCCGGAGTCCTTCAGAAGCACTGAAAAAATTTCTGCTGAACAGTCATCAGAATTACCAATAATATCCTGACTATGCAACACGAAAAAGACGTGATCTGCTCAGCAATAGAGATGTTAACTTCATTTTAAGTGGTTAGGTTTGTTTGTTTGTTTGTTTGTTTGAGACAGAGTTTTGCTTGTTTCCCAGGCTGGAGTGCAATGGGGCCATCTGGGCTCACTGCAACCTTCGCCTCCTGGTTTCAAGTGATTCTCCTGCCTCAGCCTCCCGAGTAGCTGGGATTACAGGCATGTGCCACCATGCCCGGCTAATTTTGTACTTTTAGTAGAGACTGGGTTTCACTATGTTGATCAGGCTGGTCTCGAAGTCCTGACCTCAGGGGATGTATACACCTCTGCCTCCCTAAGTGCTGGAATTACAGGCGTGAGCCACCGTGCCCAGACCACCTTTTTAGTGCTTGATGGGGATTTGGGGTTTTCTGTGGAAGTGTCTTCTTTGCAGCAGTGTCCTTGGCTCCTCAGGAGGAAGTATATGCTGTGCGGCTCTGCCATAAAGGAATTTCACATCCTTAGGTCTTAGCATCCTTCTTGGCGGGATGAATTTTTAATAAGGCAACTCATCTAAAACCATGCAGGTAAGGGAAGGCATACCTCTTTCCCGATGGAGTTACAGGGTTTCTCTGGAAATTCAACAGTGCGAGCTCACATCTCTGCTGGGTGAGTCAGGGTATGTTTGAGTTACTTATTTTGAGGAATGCTCCACCTTTCTCTTTCGGGCTTCTTAAAATGAGGCTACTCTGGGCTAGTAGTGTTGTATGTACTCTCTTTTAGGATGTTTTATGGGTAACTAATTGACTGCAAATACCTGTATTCTCGTGACTGCACATATGCAAAAAACAACTGAGAAGCAAACTTCGTCCAAACAGCCGCTAGATCAGCCCCAGGTAAAGGAGCAGATCTGAGCCAGCGCACACGGAATTAATATTCCTATTTACTGGATGAAAACGCTTACAGCCTTACTCCTTTTCCCCTAGTCCCTGAAAAGAGGCATTTAAAGAGATACGCGCACATGAGACTCAAACCTTTACAATGCCATTAAAAATCAGAAGTAAAAGGAACGATCCCCAGTGAATTCCCGACACCCCCAACGCTTTATTGAAGAGTATAGACAGCGTCGTCAGCTGAAGCTGATACTCGGGTTCGCATAGTGGCCGGTTCCAATGACCTCAACTGCGGCCGCCTCCAGCCTCACGACTCCGCAAGCAGGTCACGAATTATGCCCCACGCATCAAAAACTCTGCGCTTGCCTTGGCCACAGCGGGAGCCGCCACCTGGGCGCGCGGCGCAGCTGCCCGCGGCAGTGGCCGGGCGCCCTCCAGCCGGAGCGCTCCTCCTCGGGAAAGCCGCTGCGCGCAAGCGCCTCGGGTCGACCTGGAGCCCGGAGCCCAGCGCCGACGGCCCCGGCGGAGGCCCGACCTTGGTCCCCTGGGCTTTGCTGGGCACTGGGAAGGCGACCCCGCCCCAATGGCCGGGTCGCACCACCGGCGACTCCGGCGCCGGCGTCACCAGCCCCCTCCCGGCCTGTAGCCCCTTCCCAGGCGGCCTTAGGCGCTCGCACTTGACCCCGCAGGCGCGGAGGAGACGCGGCCCCTGGTGCCGGTGGGGTTGATGAAGGAGCTCCACGCACCCACCGCCGCATGAGCCAGACAATAGCGCAATGAGCGCCGCGTCCGAGCGTCCTGGATCCCCTCCGCGCGCACACACTTGCGCACACACAGGCACCGCTCCAGCTCCAAGCACACGCCAGGGGCCTGGGACCCGGGGCTCCACTTCTCGGCTTCTACAGCCAGGCTCTGGGGCCTGCAGCGCGCTAGAGGAGCTCTCTTCCAACGGGCTGCCCTACTGGGCCCCAGGCGCCCAGGACTTTGCCACCACCTGCCCTGTTCGCCCCAGAATCTGAGCCTGAACCGCCCCCGCCCACTACCTGCCCCTCCACACCCTCCCTCCCGCCTCCGCCTCCGCCTCGCGCTGCAGCCCACCCGCGTGGGGGCGGAATCCGCCCGGCACACACGTGTGCAGATTATTAAGCAGCCGAGCCAGGGCCGTCGCCGTCTCCACGCAGCAACCTCCGCTAATTGCGGGGGAGGGGAGCCCGGAGCTCGCGGAACTCGGGGGAACCGAGAGTGCGCTCAGGGCGGCTGGGAGTGCAGGGGAAGGGCGGGAAGTTTTGCGGAGTTGCGTGGCAGGTGTTTCCTCTTCATGCAGGGGCTTGGCTGGAAAAAGCCGGGTCCTGTCCCCTGGGATCCTGCCCTCTCCCCTGCCACACACAGGTCCCTGCACACCTCCCAGGGCACAACCCTCTTTGCCCCTAGACTTTGGCTGCCTCGCCTTCCAATTCCCAGACAGTCCAGTGCCGACTAGAGGCCGCCGCCAGCCGGGCCCTGCTCAGCCGGCGGTGCCTCCGAAGAGGCAGCGGCCAAGGCGTCCAAACCGAGCCGGGCGGGTTGGCAGAGGGTCGGAGTCTGCGGGAAGCTCCCCAATCCCGAGGGACCGCGAGCTTGGGTGACTGAGGGCCACCGTGTGCTCTCCCCGGGATCTCGGGGCTCATTCCCGCAGACAACCCCTTGTGAGGGTGGATGCCCATGAGGAGGAGCTGGCGCCGAGCGGTCAGCTCTGTCCGATCCCTGGACGCCTGGTGGAGACCAGCGCCGGTAGGGGAAGCCCAGCCCGCACGTCTCTCCCTCGCTCTCCAGGCGGATCTGGAGTTTCCTAATGAACCAGATAGTCCTCCTTCGCCCTGCCAATCACTCTTCCATCTGGACCACGGGAGGAAAAGGAAATGGGTGGCAAAGAAGATGGAAGAATCTAGAGAGGAAGGGGAAATGTTATGAAGGGAAAGAAGCAAGTGACAATTAAAAAAAAAAAAATCATAGGATTAAATTCCATCCTTTAAAAATGAAACGAAAGAAAAAACCTTTATAGATACAGAGATTCCGGGAATGTCCATGGACGTGCTGATTGATAGACAAAGCATCTAAGGAGGCTAAAAATGGGGACAGGGGCAGGTATTTCCAATGTGAAATCAATCAATATTCTCTCTCTTTCTGTCTCTCTCCCACTCTCGAGGGAGCTTATTTTCTTTCCCGTAGAAGAGACAAGTGCACAAGGTCTCGTCAGCCTTGAGGTCGCAGCCTGTAGGCTACTTAGGAGAAAACACTCCCCAACTCATTCCGGGAGAAAACCAAGTTCACAGAGCCCCAAGCCCAGGAGGCACTCAGAGGAACTCCTGCCCCTGACCAGGGTAGAAAGAGACCACCCTGCTTCCACGTTTAATGTATCTGACTTGGAAGCCGGTCCAGAACTCCCAGCCTGTTTCACGCACCTTGTCAACACCTTACAACTTGCAAGGAGAGAAGTCCGGGGGAGAGGAGAGCGGGGGCGACCTTCCCGAGGCAGCTACTCCTCTCCAGCTGAGGTCGTGGGAGAGGGAAGGAGGAGCGGAGGAATGGGGTGTACGGGTGGGAGGAGGCCGGGCCGGCGGAGACCTTTGCCTGTTGGTTCCCAAACCCCCGGAGAGAGCCCGAACTTTCAAGGCCGGCTGCACTGGGCCGCTTTCCCAGGAGCGTCGGGTCCGGGGAGAAAGTCCTGGGAACTGACCCCCAGACCCCCCACCCCGACCCGTGGAGTCCGCGTCTCGGGGGAGGCAACGCCGCCCCGCCGGAGCGCAGTTCCAGCCCGACTCGAGTTCGGTTCCTTTACCCCTAACCACCCGCACTGCCGAAAACAAGAGGCGTCTCCTTTTAGCCTGGGCGACGGGGAAGGAAGGCACCGCGGGGTGGAGCGGGGGCCCAGGAGGGCTGGGGAGAGCGCAATGGAAGCGCCCTCCCAGGCATCGCGTTCCCCGAGCGCCGGTGGCGGAGCAGCGCCCGGCTGAGGCGGCCACTCCGTGCCCTGCGGTCCCCAGAACCCACACTCGCGCCCGCAAACGGGGCCTCCGTGGGCTCCCGCGCCTCCCCGGCCGGAGCGAGCCCGCCTTACCCTTGGCTGCAGTGAGGAGCCTCGCGCACAGCACCAGCAGCCCGAGGAGCAGGAGCGGCGGCTGGAATCTCCTCCGCGCAGTCATGTCTGCAGATACTCCACGCGCACGCGGCACGGGTGGCTCCTCCGAGGAAGGCAGGGCTACGAGCGCAGCCGGATGATCACCCGAGGGCAGGGCGAGCCGGAGACGGAGCCCGGTCCCGAAACCCGCCGCGCATCCGACGCCTCCCGCAGGTCTGGGCGCCCGGCTCGCCTCCCTCTCATAGCATCGGGTCCCGAGCCTCTGCAGGGCTGAGCGGCTCCGAGCTCCGAGACCCGGGCGGGCTGGCTGGCGGCGCCCGGGCCGGGGCCAGGGCCGGGGACGAGCCGGGCAGGAAGGCACCAAGGCGGCGAGGCTGCGGGAGGGGCGAGGCGGGGAGAGGAGCGCACGCAGCCGGGAGAGACCTGGAGAGGAGGCAGCTGGAGAGAGAGCCGGCGAGTGGGAGCTGCGGGGAGGGGGGCGCGGGGGGAGGAGAGAGCCAGTAGAGAGAGAAAAGGCGGAGAGCGCGGAAGACGGGCTGCTAGTGGCACAAGGAGCCGCTGCCGTGGCGGCTGGACTCAACCATCCCTACCCACAGAGAGGGGACCGAGGCTGGGCACGGCGCAGTCCCAGGCACAGCCAGCCTCTGGGCCTCGGGCGGCCCGCACCGCGCCGCGTTTCGCTCGGCCTCCGCGCAGCGGCGCGCAGGCTGGAGAAAGGAGACTTGTTGGGCGCTCGCGGGTGGGGGAAGCCCACGCTGCACACCAGGGAGGAACCACGCAACCCGGCAACTCGCGCAAACTGGAGGGCGTCTGCAGGGGCAGAGGCCGGCCTCCATCCTCTCATCTCCCTTCCTGGCTGGCCAGAGAGCGGCCCTCTGCATAACTGAGATCAGAAATGCAGGTGGAAAGGGCACACGGTTCAACTCCAAGGGAGAGATATATTAAATATTATATATATATATACACACGGACACATATACATAAAATCTTTTGCAAGATGGACTATTTGAGAGGAGCCACACAAATTTACAAATTTCCTGACTTCAGATTGTCTTAGACTTAACGATGCCCTAAACTTCAGCTTCAGATAAAATTTCACATGAGGAAGAATGTCTAGAATTCATGTTATGGTCTGGTGATGGGAGCCAGCATGTTGGCACAGCTTCCGATGAAACTATATATAAAATCCTGTGGGTTGGGAAGGGACCTTAGAAGAGAAGAGGCAGGTTCTCCCTGATTCTGCAAGAGGATGAAGCCAGCAGGGAGAGAACAGCGCTCTAGAATAGCAGTACTTGATACAATAAACTGGATTTCACCCAGCTCCCCAAACGGAGGAGGCATTCCTGCAGTTGCTGGGGAACGTGTTAGGCAAGACATTTTAGGAAAAGGTGGTCAGTTAATAGAAACACCGTGAGTGAAAGCTGATTTTCACAGAAGAACATTTAAAGGATTCAACATCCTTGGCCAAAAAGGTTTAGCCCTTTTAGAGGACAGAACATGGACATCCCATGCCCCAGCGAGAGCGAATTAGACTTCAGTCCTGGAATCATTAGTCTATCGGCCTGTACCTGTGGTGGGAGGGAGGACCCAGCGCTGCATCCCACCTCCTTCTCCTCTTGGTCTTTGAGATTAAAGGGGTTGACAGTTTCACAAGGTTTTATCTCCCTCCTTTAATATTCTTAGATTGCCCTTGCCCCTGTGACGTCTAGGCTAGCTCAGAATGGGATGGCCTATCTCCAGGGCAGGAAGGACTGCAAGCTTGGTGTGGAAACACCAAAGCCTGACTTTGAGTCTCCCTGCAGCTTACCTCCACAATCTGTTTCTCCTCACACAGATCGGAGCTTTTAAATATAGGGAGGAGACTGACGCTCTTGGAGTTGCAGTCCTGTGTTTTCCTCAGCACAGAATCCCATCTTGCCTTGTTCATCCCTGGAGGGAAAATCAGAGGGCAGAATGCCTCCATCACAGGGGAGTTCCCACGGAACACCTGAGTTCTATTATTTGGGCTGAACTGGGTCTGTTGGGCAGAGGGTCACCCCTTCTGGGATTTTAACTCAGATCCCAGATAGTACCTGTGAGTCAGCAAGTGAAAAAAAATGCTTTCCAACACCCATTAAGTGCTCCAATAGTTCATTTCAAGCACCTCATCAGGAAAAACGAAGCCCTTTTCAGGAGCTGAAGAGCTGACTTCTCCTTGAGAAACGGTGCCCTGTCTGTACACTGCCATTCCTAATGACTCGTGTCACCAAGAAGGATTTCTGCCATTAAAAAACGTTTTCAACATCTGACTATCCTGGGCTGGGACTCAGAGATTTTCACTTGATTAGGATCCCAATCAGGAACGCTGAGTGTCAGCTGAGAGCTGGAACACCTTTACACGTAATTGTGACAGGCTGCAGGCTCAACTTCTCTGTCCCTCTGTTCTGTTAAAACGCTCCCATGCCCCCTCCTTTCCGCAGAGCGCAAAGAATCTATCTGATACAAGGCCTTGGGAAATACTGCTCCGGATAACCAATAATCACTCAGTTTTTGCTGTTATTTATATGGGGTATTTTCTTTGGCCTGATCGTACATTAGAGAGTGACAATGATTCGTGCCAAATTGTTCCTTGATCATAATTATGAGAAGGGTAGAAAACGGCTGTCAAATAAAATAAGCTGGTCTGTGATATGGTTGTATTTGTGTGTTAATACAGTGAATTCCGCACCCCGCCCCCCCCCACACACACACCCAGCCAGAGCTCAAGGCTGGTTTAATTTGGAGGAAAAACATGGGGCACTGCTGCCATCTAGCGTCCGATATTTCTTGTTTGGCGATTTCAGAGAGCAGTGGTCCCTGAGGGTTTTTTTTTTTTTTTTTTTGCTTCTCTTAACCTCCTCTGTTCCCTACGTGCGTTTTCAATCTCCTCCCTGACACTCGTGCGCCTTCCTAGCGGTGAGGCTGCAGATGGAGCCCATTGTAGGCTACCGCAAGCTCCCCACCCCTCCCCGACATACGCGCATACTTCGATTTTTTTTTTTTTTTTAATGATTGTGAAAGCCTTAATCTCTATCAGAAGTCCAGTACATGTCACTTAGAGCAATTTTAGCCAAATAGGATTGGAGTGAGCGTGGGCGCATGGGACGTCACACCAGGAAGCTCCGTGGCCACTTCTCTGCCATGGCCTGTGCTGCCTGGAGCATCACACTTCTGTACTGGGATGTTGACTCGGATCCCCATCCTGGGCATCACACTCTCCACAGCCTCAGGGCCTGCTAAGCAACGCTAGAAATACCCTTGGCACTCAGCACCCACCAGAGAGTTGAGCAGTGTGATGGTTAAAGACGAAGAGGTGCCGGTGTGCCGAAGGGGGTAATGACATCCCTAAATTCAGGTAGCAACTAATTTAACATGCAGTTGGAGAGACGACAGCATAAACATCAAAAAAGTGCAGCCATTGAAGAGGGAGAGTGTGTTTTAAATGAAATTGTCTGAGGAGGGGATGGAAAATAGGAACACGATACTTGAGATAAAATTAGAAAATTTTAAAACATGCACAAATGAGAATGCTAATTAGCTGGAAAAGCTGTACATGTGTGAAAATCTTAGAGAATGTGGTGTGTTGTCATGATGCCTAACTGTGACATTATTTGGTTTGTTTAATGTCACATATGAAAAAAACTGATGGCAACTGAAGAATTGAGGAAAATTATTTTCTTGACAGAGGGGTCAGTATTAGAGTCACATGACTCATGTTTCCTGCCGTGCAGTGTCTACCTCGGGTGAGCAAGCGTGTGACAGAACTTAAGGCATAAAAGCAGAAATCAAAGCAATCACGCCTGGTGTGCAAAGGCATTTTATACATGACTTCATTGATACCACCCTTGTCTTTACCACTCCCACTTCCAACGATGAGAACATGTTGGCTCTGAGAAACCAGGGGACATGTAACGGGGCCACATCTTACTAGGGGCCAGAATGTGAGTGACACTCAGACCTCTTGCTGCATCAGCATTTAAAAACCAGCCCTTCCCACCCCTTGCTGACTCAAAAGCATACCTGGACCTCAGGGTTCTGACACACTTTGGTGCTATGCTCCCAGGGTGGCTGGATTAAAGAACAGAGAGACAGACATCTGCAGAAGACTCCACACTCAATAGCAGCAGAATGCATACTCCTTTCCTTTTCTTTTCTTTTTTCTTTCTTTCTTTCTTTTTTTTTTTTTTTTTTTTTGAGACAGAGTTTCGCTCTTGTTACCCAGGCTGGAGTGCAATGGCACGATCTTGGCTCACGGCAACCTCCTCCACCTCCTGTGTTCAGGCAACTCTCCTGACTCAGTCTCTTGAGTAGCTGGAATTACAGGCACCTGCCACCATGCCCAGCTAATTTTTGGTATTTTTAGTAGAGACGGGGTTTCACCATGTTGACCAGGATGGTCTCAATCTCTTGACCTCGTGATCCACCCGCCTCGGCCTCCCAAAATGCTGGGATTATAGGCGTGAGCCACCGCGCCCGGCCTATACTCTTTTCAAGTATGCATGGAGCATTCTCCAGGACAGACTATTTCCTGGGCCATTTAAAATAAAAAAGGAAACCTATGAACATTTGCAACTATTTGTTTATATAATTTACATTTACTTAACTATCCTCATTGACAGGATTTATAAGTAAATGTTAATCGTTTTCCTATTTTTATAAAATAAACTAACACCTTTCACAGGTATACTATACACCTACATATGGGTATATAAATGACATTAAAATGTAGCAAACTAACTTGACGAATTGAGCTGTCAAGAGACAACCCACACTATAAATGAACCATTGGGAGGAATGAAAAACGGAATTCTCTCCTTTTACTGTTAGGTAGTTGAATTGATGGTTACTGAGGCTTCCGCGTGGATCACAATGACCTGGAAGGCTTCTGAAAACACAGGTGGCTGAACACAAGCCCAGAGGATCTGATGCAGCATAAGTTTTGGGGTGCAACTTAAGAATGTACATTTTTTTTTTTTTTTGAGAAGGAGTTTTGCTCTTGTTACCCAGACTGGAGTACAATGGGGCGATCTTGGCTCACCACAACCTCCACCTCCTGGGTTCAGGCAATTCCCCTGCCTCAGCCTCCCAAGTAGCTGAGATTATGGGCATGCGCCACCATGCCCAGCTAATTTTTTGAATTTTTAGTTGAGACGGGGTTTCACCATGTTGACCGGGATGGTCTCGATCTCTTGACCTCGTGATCCACCCGCCTCGGCCTGTAATCCCAAAGTGCTGGGATTACAGCCACCGTGCCCGGCCCATACATTTCTTTTTTTAATTTTTATTATTTTATTTTTCAAGAGATGAGGTCTCACTATGTTGCCCAGCTAGTTTACAACTCCTGGGCTCGAGATGATCCCCTGGCCTCAGCCTCACCAAGTTCTGGGATTATAAGCATGAGCACCCATACCTAGCTAAGAATACACATTTCTAACAAGTTTCAAATTAACTCTGATGTATCCCAGGATTCCACTGTGAGAACCACCGGTATGAAGGTTGACTTTGGAGCCAAGAGGACCTGCTTCGAATACCATATCTGCCGTTTCCCAGACAAGAAACCTAAAAACAAAAGATGAAAGAAGGAAGGAAGGAAGGAAGGAGGGAGGGAGGGAGGGAGGGAGGGAGGGAGGGAGGGAAGAAAGAAAAAAGAAGGAAAGAAAGAAAGA